AGCACAGCTATTACACGTGTGCTCCGGTCGCCATCTTGGACACGCCCCCATATATATATATATATATATATATATAATCGGCCACCAAAACATATCGGCTGAAAATGGCACTTTTGGCTAAATGCCAAAGTGCCATTTTCCTGCCGATACAGCGGCTTTCTTTCCTCCCCACTGGGCGCTGCTCTGTGTCCCAGCGGGGTGGAGAGAAAGTGTGACAGCCGGCCGAGCGTTGCGGGAGGAGTGCCCTGTGTTTGAGGGTTTTTTAGGGGGGAAGGGGGCCCCAACAAAAAATCTTGCACCAAGGCCCTTTGTTCCTTAGTTCCGCCACTGGTAGTGGGGGTGACCAATAACGATTTGAAAATGTCAGAATCCTGAAAGCAGATCCAGAATCCCCAAACCTGCTTGAATGTGTCGTAACGATCAGAATCCACAGCAACCATTTCCTCCATATGTATAATTTAATTCAGGCTATACAACCAATTAAGCATTGAGGGGGCCTGGGCGGACTTCCAGTATCCCGCAATAGCCTGTCGGGCCGCAAAGAGGAAAAACCACAAAGCAGATTTCTTAGCTTTCGAAATTGATCTAGATGACAGGGACAATAAAATTAGAGTAGGAGTATTGCTAGTGGTCAAGGAGTGTGCTTTATCGTACACAGCTAAAACTTTGTCCCAGAAGTCCCGTATCTAGGGACAAGACCACCACACATGTAAGTATGTACCTTCAGATACTTGACATCTCCAACATGTCTGCGAGACCGAAGAGAACATATGATGAAGCCGCACTGGAGTGAAGTACCACCTGGAAACCAGTTTGAAGTTGCGTTCCTGCAGTTTACACGACATTGCCAGCCTATGCGTAAATAGGAAGACCGTATCCCAATCAGCTGGGGTCAAGGCAGAATCTACATCCCTAGTCCATGTGTGAGTGTAAGAGGGTAGTGCCGTAGAATAATGAGAGAGAAACATCTGATATAATAAAGAGATGATGTGTGTCGGGGGAGTAGAAGCAATGCACAACAACTTAAAAGGCGTGAGGTTTTGGGAAGGATCAGAAAAGCAGAATAGACCGGAAGAGGCCAATCTGTGCTGCCACCCATGTTCAATAGGGGGACCCATAACGCTGCTTTAGGATGGAGTGGTGAGATCGAAAATTCCAGGGACACCCATTGTTTATTTGGTGCATTATGGAACCAGTTCAGCACTCGCGTCGGCAAGGAAGCTTTGTAGTAAAAGAGAAAATCAGGCAAAGCAGCACCTTCCCTCGATTTGGGCCTCGTCAAAAGGCAGTAGTTAAGTCTAGGTTTGGTGCAATTCCACACTAAAGTTGGGAATATATGCTTCAGCTTGAGAAAGAGAGAGCATGGTAGGCGTATAGGGACAGTTTGGAAGAGATATAAAAATTTGGGTAAATTTTTGATCACATTTATGCGTCCAAACCAAGAGAGAGCGCAAGATCTCCAGAATTGGAGATCCCACCCCGTCCTAGAAAGGAGTGGTAAGTAACTAGGTTCATACAAGCGGGACAAGTCAGAGGGTACTCGGATACCAAGGTATCTAAAGGAGGAGGATTGCCATGAAAAAGGGAAATGAGAACGAAGAGAAGACACCATCTGACTAGGTATTAAGCAATTCTGATTTATCATAATTCACTCTGAAATTGCTAACAGAACTGAAAGAAGAATGTTCCTGAAGAATGACTGGCAGGGAAAGGGAGGGTTGAGTTATATACAGAAATAGGTAATCAGCATACAACGCTAATTTAAATTCTTTGGAGCCCACAGAGATACCATGTATAGAAGGGTTAGCACGAATGGCAGGCCAAGTGCTCCATTGTAATCACATATAGTAAGGGGAATAGGGGGCATCCCTGATAGGTGCCATTAGAAATCTTAATCGGGTCAGACAGTTTGCCATTGGCGCAAACACGGGCAAAAGGGGCGGCGTATAGAGCCATTATTTTAGATATGAAAGAGGTACCGAGCCCCAGTCGAGTTAAGGAGGCCCAAAGGAAGTGCCAAACCACCCCGCCGAATGCTTTCTCAGCATCTAGAGACAGTTTGCAGGCCGGCACTCCCTTTTTCTGTGCAAAGTCAATTAGAGATATGGTTTTGGACATATTATCCCTAGATTCTAGGAGGGAGATGAACCCCACCTGATCAGTATGGATGAGGCTGGGCAATAAAGGATGGAATCGAAGGGCCAGTAATTTAGAGTATAATTTGATGTCACAATTCAATAACGAGATAGGGCGGTAACCCCCAGAAAGGGTGGGGTCCTTACCCGGTTTCAGTATCAGGGAAATATGAGCCAATAAGGATTGCAGGGAGAAGGGACATGAAGGAGAATTTGAATTGAAAGTATCCAACAGGAGGGCAGAAAGTTCAGAGGTAAAGGATTTCAAAAATCTTGCTGTATACCCGTCTGGGGTCTTCCCATTTTTAGCCATTTTGATGACACAAACTATTTCCTCAACAGTGAAAGGGGATTCTTGGGCTGTACGAACATCAGGAGTTATGGGGGGCAGGAGAGTACTATGCAAATATTCAGTTATGCGAGGGGCATCGTGTTGGGAAGGACAGGAAGGTTCAAAGGAGTCTATGTTATATAATCGGGTGTAATAATCATGGAAAGGTTGAAGCAGTATTAGAATGCACAATTGGGGGAACGTATAGATAAAATGGAATGTTGTCCCTGACATGGGTGTTTAGTGCGGGCTAGAAAGGAGCTACATTCATTCCCATATTCATAGGTATGCCTGAGGAAGCGATCTCGGTATCGTAAAGAAGCTTGATCTAAAAGTGCTAGTAATTGTTTACAGGTAGTCAAGAGTTCCAGTCTAATAGCTTCATCTCCTAAACACTTATGAGATCATTCAAGGGCAGAGAGTTTGTCAAATAGGGAAGTAATTTGTTGTGATCTCCATTTCTTAAGCCGGGCACCATGCTTAATAATAAATTCCTCGCAGTACATATTTGAGTGCCTCTCATCTAAGCAGGAGGGGGGTTGGATCTGTAGCATGAGCCAACTGAAAGTTAGAGACGGTCTGCCTGATTTCCGCACAACACATAGAGTCAGAAAGGAGATTATCATTCAGTCTCCAGAAGGGGAAGGTGGGTGGCAGCACAGAGAAGGGAAAGGAACAGAATAGTGGGGAGTGGTCTGACCACACTGCTTTTGCTTACTTACGTCTGCCTGTACCCTGGGCTGTCCCGGAGTTTTTCTTGTTACCTATCCTGAGGTAAATTTGCAAATAAAGCAGTAGAAAGGCTTAAAGGGGTGCCATGCCCGAGAGCAGCAGGAAGACGCGACTCACTCCAACATGCGCTGGCCACACCCCCAAGGCTGTGGCATAATTGTGAATACATGCTCCTGCAATAATTTTGTATAGCCAAGTCTCCAAACTGACTGTGAGAAAAGGTAGAAAGGATAGAATGACATGGTTTGCAATGCACTATGGGTGAACTAGCTGAACATCACTAAGAAGTAAAAATGCCTAAAATGGGTTTAGAAGTAAAAGGCTTTTGCATATACTGCCAAACCTTAATGACAAGTTCATTAACATTCACCTTGGCAAATTATATTTATATAATCTTACCTGGCAAATTAGGTTATTCATCTTTGATAGAACCTTGACAAATGCCAACCTAAAATGTTTGTATCTAAAATAACATGTACTATTAATGTAATGTTAACTGTAACAGGAAATTAATAATGCTAAAGAAAAAATCCCTAATACAGCTGCTAATTCTACCTTTGTTGATACCCTGCAACAGGATCGAACAGAAGTTACCAATGGGCAGCTAAGGATCACCAATCTGCAGCTCCAGGACTCAGGCATGTACCAATGTGTTGCAGGGAATAAGCATGGCACCATCTATACCAGTGTAGAACTAACTGTGCAAGGTAAGTGATGTGGACCAGTAATTACTGGGCCCACAGCAGACATTTGGTTGGTCTTTCAAGGTTACAAACACTCCCCCATACTATTGTACTGTACTATCTATGTGTGATAAGCATTATAAAGCCATTTACACACCTATATTAACATTGTTACATTGTTCCCTATTACAACTGCTGGAGGAATATTCCCACCGAGTTACAAGTTCTGGTAATCATGTGTGCTAACTCATTCCCTAAAGACTAAAGGATGGCCTGCTTACCATAAAAGCAGCTTGTGAGATAGCTATAACCCTTATTAAAGATATTGTGTCCCCAGGGCCGAAAACTGAGCAACCTATTACATTATGATGCTGCTGATTGTTAAATGATGTTAAGTAACATTAACTTTTATCTCATTGCTTAAGTACTTAATGTGGAAGTAAAGGCATTAAAAAAAGTGCCGATCAACAGGCTTTATTTGACAGAAGAGTCTGTGTAAGCATTAGGACCCCCCATCTTTTTTGTTTGTTATTAATATCTACCAGATTTAAAACTTTATATGTTGTTTTCTTTAGTATTCTTTCATTTTATCTAGTAATTTGACTTTGTCTTTGCATTTTTATTGCAGCTATGGCCCCTGATTTCCGTTTATCACCAGTGAAACCTATGATCCCAGCAGCTCGAGGTGGCGAAATCTCCATACTATGTAACCCTCGTTCTGCTCCCTCTCCAGTCATTCTTTGGAGTAAAGGAACTGAACTTCTGTACAACAATAGCAGGTATTAAAGTGAACCTGTACTAAAAGAATATGAAAAACAAGAGAAGAGTGAAACAACCTTCTGTGTTATCTAAGTTACACCAGAGGACAGAAAGAAAGTGTAATGTATGCACTCACCAAAGACAGGATGTGGAAGAGGATCTATTAACCCAGCACTTCTCCTCAATCACAGGAGTCGGTGGAGAAGTCGGTACTGTATATCAGCAGTGTTGGTGAGACATGCAGGTGGAGCAGCATAACTGATGTGCTGTGTGGAGTTCAACAAACAATGTGCAGCAGAGGGGAATCTGTCAGCTTTCTGCAGAGTTGTCAGTATACCACTGACAACTCTGCAGAATGCTGACGGATTCCCCTCTGGCTCCCAGTGGCTATGAGGAATTCCAGGTGTTCATTTCCAGGTTCCAGTCACTTAAATAACGCACAAGGTTGTTGCACTCTTCTTTTGTTTTTTTCATTATCTCTACAGCCCATTTTCCTCTTGTATCCAAGATCGGCACACCAAAAACATCAGAAAAACATAAACAGCACTCTCGGATGGGAAGAGTTTAACTTGCAGACATGTATGCAGCCCTGGGAAACAGGAGGAGAACCTGTAAATACAGATAATCAAAAGAACACAAAAGGGCGCAAAAAACACTGGCTGGCTGAACAAAATATAACGGAAAATCAAAGTGGTGGCACTTAGATGTGAATCCCGGGATCAGGAGATGGGCGGCCTATATGGAGGATCGTGATGTGTGTCCGACTTTGGCTGGTGTGCTGCTTAGAGGAGTACATCCACAGAAGGGTGTGAGCAAGAAGAGGGGACTTCGTCCGTAGTGCCGTTAGGGAAATACGGGCTATGGGCGGTGTAGAGGAGAACCAGGTAGAACCCGAGCTTGAAAAAGAGGTAGTACCTCAAAACGCGTCGCTCTTTTTCTCCCTGATCCCTCTCTATCTCATCAGTGAGCCGACCACTCGGCATCTGTCAGCTGCCCCCGCACACAGACTCTCGTACACTGTCCCAAGCAGACCTGACAGTGACCGATTGCTGACACCCACAGCCGTGGCTGCAACAGCCCCGTCTATTGCCGACACCGCCGGGTTCCCCCTGGTTCTCCTCTACACCGCCCATAGCCCGCATTTCCCTAACGGCACTACGGACGAAGTCCCCTCTTCTCGCTCACACCCTTCTGTGGATGTACTCCTCTAAGCAGCACACCAGCCAAAGTCGGACACACATCACGAGTGTTCCGATCCTCCATATAGGCCGCCCATCTCCTGATCCTGGGATTCACATGTAAGTGCCACCACTTTGATTTTCCGTTATATCTTGTTCAGCCAGCCAGTGTTTTTTGCGCCCTTTTGTGTTCTTTTGAACACCAAAACCTCTCTCCTTGAGAACCTTGTTTCAGTGTGCTTAGGGATTTTTACTGTTTTTAGTAACATAGTATCTGAGGTTGAACAAAGACACATGTCCATCGAGTCCAACCTATTGTGTGTATGTGTATGGTCCTACTGATGTGTGCGTATGTATGGGTTCCCGTGTGTTCTCATTTTTAAGGTTACTTGTACCCTTGTATATTACGGTCTCTGAGGAAATCGTCCAATCCCCTCTTGAATAATTCCTCACTCTCAGCTTCCACAAATCACAGCATGTGGAGAGAGTTCCAGACCCTGACCGATCTAACTGAGAAGAAACCCCTGTGCCCCTTGTGCTGAAATTTTTTCTCCACCAATTTTAGGTGGTGGCCTCTCGTCCTTGTCATGGAGTTAATTGTAAAAAGTTTGCTGCTAATGTCGCCATCCGCGGTGAACATTTTGTACATGAAAATCATGTCCCCCCTTAATCTCCTTACTTCGAATGAGAACATGTTTAAATTTAGTAGCCTGTTCTCATAGCTCAGGTCCTCCATTATGAGTTTGGTTATCCCGAACAAATTCTGCTAAGTGGTCCTTAATCATGCCCTCTAACACTTTACAAACCACCGATGTAAGACTAACCAGTTTGTAGTTCCCCGGATGGCATCTGGACCCTTTTTTAAATATCGGAACCACTGATGCCCTCCGCCAGTCTCTTGGCACTCTACCGGTCATTAAGGAATCTTTAAAAATTATGTATAATGGTCCCGCTATGACCCAGCTTAGTTCTTTAAGTACCTTGGGGTGTAGATTATCTGGTCCCAATAAAGATTGCAACAAAGATCTGCGCTTGTGGAAAGTAGACTATCAGTGGTGAGCCTAAAGCTGCTATGAGAAGTGATAGTCCAGAGGATGAACTATGTGCATTCCTATGTATAATATCCCTGTCTTTTTCATGAGTGTACTGATGAGAAAAAGGTATTTAACGCCTCAACCCTCTCCCTTGTGACTAACTCCCCGCTTTCATCCATTATTGGGCCTATCTGCTCCTTCCTTACTCTTTTATTATTTATGTACTGGTAACATTTTTTGGGATTCTTTTTACTTACTGTGGCTATATATTTTTCACACTCTATTTTAGCTGCGCAAATTACTTTTTTACATCTTTTGTTACATTCTTTATAATTATTGAACGCCAGTGTCATCCCCTCCTTCTTATATTTTCTAAATGCCTCTCTCTTGTCCTTGATGTGTTGCTTTACCAATTTATTTATCCATACAGGCTTAGTTTTTGATCTTTTAATTTTGTTCCCCAATGGTTTACACTTGGTAATAGCCTTATTTAATGTGTTATTAAAACATTCCCACTTCTGTTCAGTGCTCAGCTTCTGAAATATGCTTTCCCATTTGATTTCACACATAAGCTGGCGTAGCTTATCAAAGTTAGCCTTCCTGAAGTTTAGGGTTTTTGTCCGACCAGCCGACTTCCCTTTACTATACCCAATATTGAACGTAATCACGTAGTGATCACTGTTACCCAATGTCTCCCCAATTACAATACCCTCAATTAACTCCGCATTATTAGAAAATATTAAATGTAAGATTGCATTCTTCCTACTCGGGACCTCCACCATCTGGTCCAGGAAGTTGTCTCGCAACATGTTTCGAAAACGGGCCGCCTTTGTAGAATGGGATGCTCCATTAACCCAATTTATGTCTGGATAATTGAAGTCACCCATAACAATGACATCACCCTGCTTCCCAGCTGTCTCTATTTGAAAGTGTAGCTAATCCTCCACCTCCCCCCCTATTTCTGGAGGTTTTAACAGACACCCACAATAAGTTTACCTCTAGCCTCCGACCTATCTAGTTCTAACCACAAGGATTCCACGACCTCCCCACCATTTAACACGATATCGTCCCGTATCTGCACCTTTAGGTTGTTTCTAACATAAATACATACTCCCCCCCCCCCTTCTCCCACACCTGTCCCTCCTGAACATGACCCAATCATGTGTGTTATCTAGCCAAGTTTCCGTTAATACCACTATATCGAAGTTTTCTTCGAGTAACATAAATTCAAGCTCGTCTAGTTTATTTGCTAGACTTCTAAGAATCTAATTTTTGTCCCACTATCACAAAAATGCAAAATATTATCCCGCTTGCCGCTATATTTTATATGTTGCCTTGCTATAATTGGATCAGTTCTAATTTGATTAACTTCAGCCATACAATTTGCTATGTTAACTACATTATCTATGTTGATTTTATTGTTGATCTTGTTATTGGTCCTGTTGTTGATCTTGTTGTTGAATGGAGCGAGCCACCCATTAACCCCAGTATTACTCCCTTCTGTATTGTTTTCCCCCGTGTTTGTTTGTTCGCTATTTAG